TCCAACGGTGTGGAGCTCAGCTGGTTGGACACGGAAAGAAGCCATTTTGGGGGGCTTGATTGGACAGGTGTGATTGTGTACCTGGATTTGGTAGGGATTTTCATGCTTTCATTGTGCCCGAAACATGCAAAGTCGGTTTCCTAGGCGCTTCTGGCCAGAGGAAAGTAGATGAAACCCAGGGTGTCAGAGGATCCTGGTAGGGCGGCCGGGTGGGGGGGGTAGCTTGATGCTTTTCATTGCGATTCCAAAGTTTCTATCAATGGTCCAACGACCTTTTGAATTTGCCCAAAGCTGTACTGCTGGCTCAGGATCAGCAGCCTAAAGACAGACTGGCGGCATGGCCAAGTCACTTAGATGTCAAGGAAAACGGCAAGCCTGCATTTTCGTGTGTCTGGGCCGAGGGCATTGCTATGGCCCTGGCTCTTGAAAATGAAGCGGCTGTTGCCAACTTGAGATGCAGGTACATTCTGAGTTCTGCCACAAATCTCGAAATGTCGCGATTTTGGGACTTTCCTGGTCTTCCAAATGTCCCTCACCCCACGCTCCGCTCCGGCTCTGTGCGGCCCGGGTGACAGGCGCTCGCTGCCGGCGAGGTCCACCAAGTGGAGCCGGCTCCGCAGCGTGGCGCCCGCCTGGGAGTTTCTCGGAGAGGTGAGTGGAGGACGAGAAAACTGGTAGAATAAGGAGATGAACATCTTGAAAAATGGATTCGTAAGAACGAACCTTTCATCTTGACTCTCGAGGCGCCAAAACGCACCCCTTTCAGGTAACATGGGGTAGGGTTCTAGCTGTGCCATGTGACCGCTGGGCGAGGCAAATCGACTGTCAGGGAGCACGGTTGAAGAAATCAAGTCTGCTTTCATTTGGAGAATTCCCTCTTCTCAAAGCTGGGAGCAGCCCTGGATTTCCCCGACCCCTCGAGCTAGTCAGAAACTGCTCCGAACGCTAGACCAGAACCCAAATAATCCTGCATTCCGTCCCTCAGGTCCTTCACAAAGAAACCCCACACAGGTCCACAAGCGCACGCTTCCAAACAAAAGCTGAAAACAACCTTCCAGAGTTTTCAATGCTCGTCAAAAACGCCAGTTTCTCCTCTCCCAAGCTGCCCAAAACCTACTGTCTGCATGTAGAAACCACCACATTGACACGCGCCCCCAAACGCTCCACCGATGTGATCGCGCCTCTCGATCACATTGCGACACCTCGGAACCGGTCGCCGGTCGCACTGACGGAACCGACGGCGGATTCCGGTGGATTCCGTCAGACAGTGATGCTCAGTGTTGTGGCAAATACAAACAAAAAGGAAAAAGTGAAAATCAAGGCAGTGGTACCATCACTGACAAAGTAGATGGTCTGCCTATCTCAACGTTTGAAGCCCTACTCTTAGAGCAAGTCAACTCTGCCCTTTGCCATTGAGGCATTTTGTGGTTGTTGCCACATTCTCATGACTGTTGCGCTGCCTTTGCGGTGTTTCCACGGCCCAGAAGCTCACCAACCATAGTGACAATCGATCGATCCTCGCACTTTCTGAGGTCGAACGGTTCCAAGACCTCACTGCATGGCCCAGTGCCTCGAAGGCCCTCGAAGGCCCTGCTCAGGCCCTGGGGCTCTTGGAACCTTGGCGACTCCGCCCTGCCAAACGGAGTCGAACCACCCCGCCCCGCACGCCCAACTCCAGCGAAGTGAGCCAGTCCAGAACCACAGACGCCGCGTTTTTCTTACGTCACGCCTTCCGCACAAGTGGCCAAAGCATTGCGCTTTCAGCACTCACAATGTCCCTCGATTTTTTCCACCAGAGGTTTAAGAAGTGTATTTATAGACTATCCCATGGGTGCCCCAGCAGCGTCACCCGATAAGGTCGCTTACCACCCGCAAACTCACATGGAATCTGAGACTTATAGAAGACACCTTTCCTCTACAACCCAGTGGTTGTGGGAGTCCATCTGGTCCTCTGTGGAAGGGAGTAACCTCTCTTAGAACGCATGGTCCGTCCTCAGCCATCAGCGACGTCAACGGCGACGCTCACACGGAACCAGTCAGGCACATCGGCTCTGAGGAGGAGCCTTGCAAGGAATCAATGCCGATCTCATCTCCAAGTGGCGAAGAACTCGAATATGTCACTGTCATATGTCGAGCCGTTGTGGCATCCTGCGCAACGAGCAGCGAAGCAAAGGAAAGATGTCAAAGGTCAAGGCCAAACCCGTTGGCCACTTCTTCAGGTGGTCGGCCAATAGACAAACGAGGAAAACACCAAATGGATCGAAGCATTTCCAGCGAAGTGAATGGCAGGATGGCCGATGGCAGGAGCACCGCAGTCGTTCCTTGCCGTTCCGTGAAGTGAATGAATTGACAGCTGGCCGCCCCGCAGTCACTTCCTCCCTCGGATCTCATGGTCTGTGGGGAAAAGCCCAAAGTTTCTATAGTTTTCGCAAGGTTCTTTTCCACACCAAGCAAAACTGCGCCTTTTTATAAAGCCACTTCGGCCTCCGAACCGGCCGAATCCGGGAACGCCAATTCGTGATGTCCAGCCAGAAAAGATGTCCATCACTCCATCCAGGACCTTCAAAGTGACCGAACTTGAGATCCAGGACCTTCAAAGGTCACGAATCGTCTCTGTTTAGAGGTCACTTAGAGTCTTAGAGACTCCAAAGATGCTTCACGACCGCGAGCGCAGCGAGTTTTCCGCCAAACCGCGCCGGTTCGGCATTCGCTGGCTCGGTCTCGTTCATCGGCCTTGAGAGCCTACCCAGTGGGAAGTTGCCAGGCAAAGTGCCGAAATGGAAGCGTATCAATCCCAGATAGAAGTCTACCCAGTGATTGGAAGCAAAGTCATCGTCCACGTCGTCCTTCGCAAAGTCATTGAATTTTAGACCTCTTCCTTCGCTTCTGGGCTGCACCTTGTCCTGATCCGCAAAGGCAGCTACCACAGGTGCATGTTTTCTCAATGGCCCAGGGACAAACTCCAGCTGTTGCAAACAAATTCTACAAAGCGCAGCCCAGTGCAGCGTGGCCACGAGCAAAACACACCTTCCACGATTTCCGCTACTTGTGCCAGCTACTACTTTGCGAAGTGCAAAACTCCACATGTTTAAAACTCCACATGCTGAATCGTCCGACTTCCAATACTTGGCGCTCTGAGCTTCCACGCGTTCAAAGTGAAGACCAGGTGAGAGCGGCTGCTGTGGTGGTTCCTCAGGAGAACGAAGACAGTCTCAGACTGGACCACATGAAGAATGTCCTTCAAATACACGACATCTCCGACATCTTGAATGCCTCATGGCTTGGAAGCAAGAATTTGACTTCATTTTGGGCGGCCAAATTCAAGACACTTTTGTTGGGGTTGATCATCTCGAAACCCTCCCATGGACACAGAGTCACACCCGCACACATGTTTGTCGGAAAGGTTACTACACTCCATATTGGCAATCAGCCGGCTGAAGCTTTTGTGGGCAGTATATGTGTTGTGGATGCGTGTTTGTCTGTTGCTTATGTGTTGCGGCAGCTTAGCTGTAGACTGTCACAGAGAACAAATGTTGGCCTTCCTTGTCCTTTTCATCTTGGTCTTCATCTTCATTTTCCTCTTCGCCTTCCTCTGCTTCCTTTTTCCTGTCTTTTCCTCTTCCTTTTGCTCTTGTGGAGGGGGTGCAGTCGGCACATTTCATGTTGATCCAGGAATGCCGACCAGTGGAGAATCAAACCCGGGACCTTTCCAAACTTAGAGGGGAACCAAAAGAAACTCCTTCCGGTTCTAACATCGGCCTTCGCTTCATGTGCATTATTAACGGTATCTTTCTGTTGCTTCCATTTTCCTAATGATTCCCTGTCATGTGCTTTCATATCCTTTCTTTTTCATGCCCTGCTTCATTTCTTGTAACATGAGCTCTCTTCCTCTTCAAAGTGGCTGGTTCAATCCAAAAAAACATACCAAACGCGCGTGCGCATATCCAAACGCCCTGTCCGCGCAGCGTCTTGGCCTTTTGGGACTCCAATGCCCGGCATCCCGGCAGCAATTGCACTTTTGCATGCTGCAGGATTTGCACGATCACTCTGCTATGGTTTTGCAGTGTTAACTTGGTGTCAGCATGACGGAGGCTGCCTCACCATCTTATCGGACCAGCCCCACTTGACCCTGTGCCTGTGCCCGGCTCGTGTCTGATTCACATGCTTCGTGTTGAAAGTGGGCCGACCCAGCAGGATGAAGGTCAGGACCTCAACCGTTTCACCCGTCGCAAAACCATCCGCAGGTACGGGACGGGGGAGGTGAGGGAGGCGCCTCCCGCGAGGAGGACGGTGAAACAGAGAAATTCTTTCAGCCTCTTTGCTTGAGACTGGAACTTGGGTAGCTCGATCTTAGGACTAGTAGGACGTCCAGTGGTCTTTGCCAATGCAAATTTGGATGGTGGGAACCACTTCCGCACGTCTTCAGCCAGCTGGTAGTAATTAGTAATGGTTGTGCCAAGAGGTGTCTTGATGGATTCCGAAGGCTGGGAGCAAGCCGGCCATCCCAAGGGAAAGACCAATCAACTACCTTTTATACGAGTCCAAAGAACGTTGGAAACGGTATTTTGGCACCTGCTCATAACAGGCAGGCATTGAAATCCAAAAACCATCTGTTTGAAACGATTTGTTCCCGTTTCTTAGGGTGGCTGTGAGTGTTGGGATTCAAAAGCTACCAGTGAAGGTTTGGCTGTGCCTTGTGTTCGATCTCAAAGTTGCCCAAACAACCCACGGTGGTTTTAGGGTGCTCATGGTGTCAGCGAGGGTGGTGAAATCACACATCTATATCTTGTAAATAATGTATAAGTAAAAATATGGCTCGATCTTACATCTAACCACCACTTTAAGCGAGGGTGGTGAAATCACAGATATTTTTTGTAAATAAATATGGCTCGATCTTTATAAAACCTCATGGGGGGGTTCGACACCATTCTATTATAGTCATCACACCGTGTTTAACTCACGATGTTATACAAAAGTCATGGTGTTTTGTTTTGTTATTTTATCTCGTTGTTTTTGCACCTCTGCCATGGCGAGCCAGGTGCCCCACGGAAACGTGTTTGTTCCCATCTCTCACCGCGGCGAAACGAATGCCTTGGCCCGGATTTCGCACGCGTCGCATGCAGTTGCGCTGGGCACTACCTGGATTGGGGTGTCTGAGTTGTTGTGCCATTTTCTTGTAAATAGGATGCGAAATGATCATACGTCCTTTATAATGCTTATTACATTTGTGTGGTATCTGTGGTATTTGGGAGACTGGCAGTGCTGAGATTTTCAGAGTGAGAGGAAGGGCTTGTGCTGGGCTTTCAAGTGAAGCTTGTGGGTTTCCATGCTGCAAGAAACAAAAACAGCAGGCCGCCTGTATCCACGCAACATATGAGCGGATGATCCAAGAGATGATCCTGAATGAGTTCAACCATGTTCAACCTCTCATAAAAACACTTGAATCGAAACTACTGCTGATGTGAGAGGAAAGTGCAGCACAGTGGGGCGCTGTAGGGTTCATTAAGCCAGAGATTGTGATCACTACTCAACTGGCCATTGGAACGTTGATCTTGAGACCTTTGAGTGTGGCTCCGATGCAGATCATAAATTGACGAACACCAGTCCAATCGGGTTTCCATGGAACACCTCAGGCCAATCCCATGTCTCTGTGACATTCGAAGCTTAACATCACTAAATCAAGAGACTCTGGATCGACCTCCTCAAGAAGAGAACCTCTTCCAAAACCGCACAACGGTCCGCGCGACCAGGCGCCGCCACGGGCCGGGCCGTCCGGACGGACCCCTGGACGCGCGCATGGACGCGCGCTCCGGTCGTCCCGGCCTCATGTACACCTCATCAATGAGCATTCCCAGTTCCGTCGCCGAGGCGCCTGGGTCGCCGACGTCTTCAGATCAGCTTGGAGCTGGGTCAGGGAGCTGGTCTCCAGTCTTGGTGGTTTTTCTGAAAGGACACGAATCTACAGATATCTGTACAGTCTCCTGCTCTTCTTTAAGCTTTTTGACTCTGAAGAGATCATGGGGACGTTCGGCCTTCAATCCCTCTTTTCGGAGACCTTAAGCCTTCGTTCAGCTTAGTCCGGCCGACGAACGAACCGTTGCTTCGCATGTGACCCTGGAGATCCGTCAGGGCCAAACAGTCGGACCGAGCATGGCAGTTTGCGACGAGGGGCGAAACCCGAGAGAATAACGGGGTTTGGTTAGGCCCGGGAGGGGGCTGGACAGTCGGTGTCACCCCTCCTTCTTGAGGAGAAATCAGATTTTGAAAAATACATGACTCATGACATAGTATGATAGGATGAAATAATATAAAATTCATAATATGATACATGTCTAAATCTTCGATGTAAATGCATGTAAATGCCAGATACTCATGAACTCATGGATGTATTCTCCACCTCTATACCTGTCTACCTCTGTGTATCAATGTGTATTTAGACTAACTACTAATATCGACTCTACAATGTCTCCAACAATGTAACATCAACAACTTCTGAGATGAGACGACTTGCTGGGCTCATCTCTTAATCTTAGTCGTTCGCTCTTCCAGAAACTGTGATCCCTACTGCGACATGGCTCCTAAATCTGACCTCAGATGTGTCTCGGTCTTTGGGTTGTCCAATGTTCACCTCCGGGCGGAAAAGAACCACTTTCGATTTGCGGCAGACCCCTCGAGCAATCTTATTGGCTAAGAATTGGAACATGCGCGGAAGGAGCGAAACTCGGACCCTCCACGGGGCTAGGATATTTGGGCACCTAGGTGATGTGCAAGGAGGATGGTCATGTATACTGCATACACACGCCTCCAAGCAGCCGGACCTTCCATCCAGACGTGCTTCTATCCACCGAGGTGCCACTCTGTCGCCGCTTCTGTTGGGGTTAATCTTCTTCTTGAGCATGTCATCCTGCGGCCGCCGGTCGACCGCCGTTTAGACCGACCTCGTTCCTCCGACCTGCTCTCCGACCTGCTGCGAACGGCGGCGACGGCGGTCGGGCGAATCGACGGCGGTCGGGTCGAAGATCGACCGAAGGAGGGTTCCCCCCCAAAAAAGGACCATAGAGTCTCTATATAGAGGGTGTCTGTAGCTTCAGAAGTCTGTTTCCAAAAGAAAGTGTCACTGCATGGGGAGGGTGATAATTAAGTGAAGTAGACATCATGATGGCAGCATCATCTGCCTGCTGTGCATGGGAAGCACCTGGGATCTGTGTCTGCAAAGGGTGGTTTGCGGAATACCAAATCATCGTGCCAGAAGGGCAACATCGGGCAACCACGATTCCTGTTTTCGATCGGCATACAGTTCTGATTCCAAAGCGACGAAGACACCTACACAGAAAAAAGTACCAGACCCTGAGAGGGCCAGTACTGAGGCCGAGAGGGCCTGATAGCTGACACCAAGTCCGTTTGGTTCCTTCGCCCCCAGCGACCCCCAAACCACCCACCGACGCCCACCACACCACGGGCACCGCCGCCCAAACGGTCGAAAGGTCCGGAGCTGTGTCGAGAGAGTCCAGTGCTCACCGAAGTCGGATGGGACTGCCATGACGGACTGCCGAGTTTCACGGCCAGCCAGGGGTGGTGGTGCCAGAGGGGTCTGTCTGGGGCGGCAGTCCGTCCTGGCAGTCCCATGGGTTGTGTCTGAATAATACCCCTATGATCGCCTATGGATCTATATTATATGCACATACCTGGTGATTGGAGACTAATTGATGTAGGCGTCAGGAGGGCCCCAGGAAAGCACGTTCTGAGAAGGTGGCAGTGGGATCCCTAGGGTACATGATTATCATGGTTGGGTCTATCCTATTAGCAGTAGCAGTGGATGATGATGGTTGGTGAAAGCCTTGTTCAAAAATAATGATAATTGTCGCTTACAAGTGATAGGACGGATCCAACTAATAGATGTGTTTTGGGGCACTGGGGCACACCGTTCGTCAGACTGGCACTGGACTGGTCACTGGTCTGCTGTGAGTCACCCAGGCTGGTCAGGTGTCTCAGTGATGGGTCGGTGTCCGTGTCCTTAAAAAAAGAAGGACCGACCCACGGTGACCAAGCGTGTAACCTCAGTCCAACCACCCAACGCCGCTACCGTGCAGGTCCGACGACGGCCGAGCCGCCAGGTGTTCGCAGAACTCGGCCATCGCCGCCGTGCTCTGCGAGACCTGGATAGCGATGGCAGTCCAGGTGCGTGGGGACCGGTGGGGACATGGGAAAAGGAAAAGGAGAAGAGGAGAAAAGCTGAAGAGAAGGTCTTATGGTATAGCTATAGGTATATAGCTATAGGTATAGCTGGTTCTTCTTTTTGGGGGTGGTGTAATTTGATGTCTGTGTTTTATATTTGGGGGGCAAGAGACGCAGGTTGAAACTTCTGCAACTATGGATAAGTGCATATCATATAAGTGCCATGCTTTTGCAACCAGGACCATACCTCTTGAAGGTTCTCACAAAGGGGCGCAAAGGAAGTTGGACGACGTTTGGGTGCGTGATTTTGAGGTTAGACTCCCAATGAGGCCACTTGTAATGGAAGTTGTCCAACTTCATCTGCCTCAAAATCCTCACCTGATTGATCCCGCCCAACAGAGACGGGATCCCAGCAAAGCCCCCACGCTCCCGTGCGCCCACTGAAACTATTCGTTGTCCCTGACCCTCACTTTCTGCCCGATGACCGTGCAAGGTCAGCTCTGAAGTTGGGCAAAAGAAACTGAACTTTACGTGCAGTGCTGTCAGCTTGCCTTCTCCAAGTCTTGTCACTCCTTCAGCCACCATGCAGGGCCCATGTAGGGCCAGACCACACACCACGCCACCACCACTCGGGCCCCGGCCTTCTTAGCTTGCTCCTCCACCGCGGTCTTGATGCTTTGCAAGTTGCCGATCATTCTGCCGTCGGTCGGTCATGCTTCTGAAACTCTGCCCGGTCCGGGACCTGTCAACCTCTTCACCCTCTTCAACGCCAGGAACTCCTAGACCCCCGGCCGTTTTCACACATCTACAACTGCAAAATCAAGAAAAAACCTGGAATTCCACGCCTCTCCAAGCCTTGAAGCATCGCCTCATGTTTCAGTTGTTCCTCGGTCTTCCATTTCCCTTCGCCTCAGCGGGCCGCACGGTGCGTCCCGGGGGTGAAAAAGCACGGTCCAAACGTGCTGACCGTGGACGCTGAAAGCGATGAGCCGAACATGTTTCCTTTTTGGCGATGGCCTCCAAGCTACTAGTGATGGGGTACGATGTGGAGATGTTGCATGAGAACCTATACCTAGTCACCCGGCTTCTTTCTGACCCAGTGAATGACTGAATATCTTCGAACATGTCCAAGCGGGTGTTAGAAGTCGCACGTCACAGTGGCGGTCATATCTGGGCTCTCCAAGCACTTTGGCGCCGCCACGACAGAACCGGAAGATCTGCCACTTCGTGTCCGACGGCTGGAGGACAGTATGTTCGTTCCAAGATGAGCGGTTCGCTGGACATGGCCTCCGAAAGTATATATTTATTGGGTCTACCCTAATACCTGTAACTTAACAGTGGATGATGATGGTTAGTAAAGGCATTGTTCAAACGTAGCAATAATTGTTTACTGACTGTTATAGGACAGACCCAATATATTATATATTGGAGTTCCTGCTCTATCATGTGACCCAAAGTGGAAAAGTTACGAGTTCTTTTGGCCCAGCACACAACACGAACACAGAGTCCAACATGAATCGTTCCCTTCATTTCAGCGGAAAAAGCACTTGCTTCCGGGATAGAACCATAAAATCATCAAACAAACCCTTATCTTCAGCCCTTAGGTAACAACTAAAGCCACAAGAAGCTGCTGTATTTAACGTGATCTTCCAGCTTCCTGAAGTTCCGCACCATCAAAGTTCTTCCCGTTCTTTACCGAACTTCAGCTCACGGCTCTTCCGCTTGTCAACAACCTCCCTCCCTCCGCAGTTCCTCGGTGGCGGTGTCTCCCAAGTCGCCGTGCTTCGGTCGATTCTTCTCCTGCGCGAAGGCAGGGCGCCAGTCAGTGTCCAATTAAAAAGTCCTTTCCTGCCTCCCTGGTGCTTCCCAGGCTGTCCAATTGGTGCTTTTGTGCCTCCCTGGTGCCTCCCAGGCTGGGTGGCTGGTCAGAATGTGGTCAGCCATTCACCGGTGAGAAAATCATTCCACCGTGTCGGACATCCGTGTCGGGAAGATGACAGAAGTCATGGCAGTTTCGAAATGCGATGAACAGCTGCAAAAATCGTCCAAAGAAGGCTGAAGAAGGCCTTCCCACCGACTCCTCCTTCTCAGCCAGCCCAAGAACGTGAACGAACTCCCAAAACCACCCTATCCCGGCCCGACCCCTCCCAACCGTCTGCACCGCTTCATCCCACGTTCCGCCCAAGTCGTCGTAGCCTTGCCACGCCCGTCCACCACGTCGCCGATCGGACGGGACCTCTTTGGAGGACTCAATGATCCGGTCGTCGTTGCAGGGTATCGCGGACAACAAGGCATTGTCCTCGCGCGAGCTTGCCCGATGGGGAGTGCGCTTCTGAGACGGGAGACACCACACGCGGACTCTCGGCGCGACGGAGGGGCGTCGGAGGGTCGTCAGGGTACCCCCAAAAGCACACCATGTTGCCAGGCATGGACGTGTTTCAGAGCCAAACAGGCAAATATGAGGTCGTACTGAGTTCTACTTTTGCGCACTCTGATGAGGCCAAGAACAACTGCAGGTGATCAGATTATCACTTCAATACTGTTTGTCTCTTATTCTGACGACTGTCTTCTACCCAAGTGCGACTAAAATGCAACCCCTGGCAGATGGACAATTTGAACAATGTATATGGATACATTCCTTGGAATAATCAGAAAACCACCTGTTTGTATAGAGGAAAATGGTCATCCAAAGGGAAATGTTCCACTTCCATGATGCCAGGAGTCTCTGTATCACATCTGCTGAAACCACAGTTCAAAGAGCAAGCCTTGACACAATCGTTTACACCACCCGGGCCCACGGTGAAGCAGATTCCGTGCCCGCCATTCCTGACTGCCCGGTGAAGCAGATTCCGCGGTCCTTGGCAAAAACACGTGCGTTGGACGGCGTGAAGGTAATTTCGGGGGAGATATGTAGATCGACTGGTGGGCCCCACATCAGACTGGTACCTGGACCTTGGGGATGGTTCATGGACACCGAATGACCTCTTTTCGGGGCAAATAAAATGCACCCCCGGAATCCGTGGTGCTGGTAGCGAGTCTGTTTAGGTACAAAACGAGACTGGTGGAGATCCGACGAATCGTCGTGCACGAATCGTCGTGCAATGGTCCTGAAGTTCTTCTCATACTGTTGGCTCGACCCACTACGAGTACCGTGAAAATCATCATGGGAGTGGAAAATTGCCCCATGGAGGACCATTTTCCTCTATAAACAAGGGCTGGGCTTGTCCACTTCCATGTTTGTTGCAGGGGGGGGTTTGTCATCGGTTCCAAGACCGTCCGCTGCAGATCTTTTCTGTTGTGAATTCGCTCGCTCTCGCTCCCTCTCGCTCGCTCTCTCTCTCTCGCTCGCTCTCTCTCTCTCTCTCGCTCTCTCTCTCTCTCGCGCGCTCTCGCTCGCACTTGTGCCGCCCGGGATGGAGTGCATGTGGAGATGTCGTCGTGCAGCATGGGGCCACGAGGCGTGAACGGGGTTCCGGAACAGAAAGAACTCATACGGCCGAACGGAGGAGGAAAGAACGGTCACTAAACGTCGTATGCAATGCAATACTAAACGTGGTACATGAACCTGTACGGGAATCAGGTGAAGACACCGCTTTACGAGAAGACCACGACATGGGAAGGGAACTCTCGGCCGAACGCCGAGGGCGATGTTGGTTTCTTCGACGACGACGGGGTCGAACGTCGGGGATGGGATGCGGCAAAGATGCACTCGATGGGTTGGTCGGGGGAATTCGTGGGCACTCTATTGACCAAGCGAAAGTATTGCGAATCAGCTGAAGGGTAGATATGGGTGGATACTTGTTCCTGTCAAGGGCAAACGGATTGTTTCTTCCAAGAAAAAAAGAAACGAGATCACTTCCTGAGCGATGTGCAGGTCTTCTCCAAGATCAGACTTGGTCATTCGTTCGTGGTTTTATTTCTAATCCGCACAGCTCTATGGGTTGTCTGCCCTTCAGCTGGTTCACACGTTCGCTTGGTCCTGAAGTCCACGAGTTAGACAAGGCTCATCATTCTCAAGTCTACTTCTCAGCAACTCTTTGGCTCCATACCCGGCGAATCGAGTCGAGTAGTACTCTAAACCATTCTAAACCATCTACATGTATTACAAGGCGAAAGAAAGGCGGAGGCAAAAAAAGGAAAACCATTCCAAAGAGATCCCCCCCCTAATAGATCTCCCAAGACCGACAACGACGTGACTTCCAACATCCATCCATGATCTCCATACTGATATATCCCTACAGGTCAAAGACCTCATTTCACTGGATCCGGGAAAAATGCCAAAGCCACTACTGAATGAGGTCGGACGGACCAGGTTTTTTACTTGGCCTGACTGGACTTGTATCTTTCATAGACATCCTCTCCCTATCCGAACTCCATCCTCCATCCCCAACATCCATCCATTGTATCCATATCCTCTATATCTTCCATCTTCCGAACTCCATCCTCCATCCTCCTCCATCCGCCGAGGGCGCTCCAGGCTATTGGACAGCGTTCGGCGCGGTGGTCCCGGCTTCTTTGGTGTGGAAGACGTCCTCGGGTGAAGCGGGACGGAGCCGCGAAGGAGAAGATCAGGGAGCGCCGGTGGGTTTTGGGGGAACAAAACGAAGGTGGGTGGTGTTTTTTCTTGTTTTCCTGCTTGCACACATGGCTGGAATGAATGGAATGCTTGGTCCAAGTTGTTTCGAGCAAAAGAGACAAGTTCGAGGACGCTATGCATGGGTATGCGAAAGTTGATGAGTCGCGGAAAGAAAAAAGAGAAAACAAGATCGAACACCGTGTTTTCTGAGAAATCATCACCTGAAAAAAGAATAAGAAAAAAAAAACACCGTGGTTCATAGTGGTTCCATATGGTTTCCCCGTGTAGATCGTTTCCACGTGTAACATCAATGTCTCGCCTCGGCGTGCCAGGCCTGGATGGGAAGGATGGATCCTCGGTGGGACGAACATGACCTGGTTCTGAAGAACATGACCTTTTGATGTCGAGTCAGAGGTCACTTGGGTCTGTAAAAAGGTCACTTAGGAACTCCAGTCAGAGGTCACTTTGAAATCTTTGAAGAACCTGGGACATGGGAATCAGGTGCACAGATGTGAAAAGAGGGCTAAGATCAGACAGAAGCTCTGACGCTTCGCTCTGACTGAGCTTCAGCAAAAGCTGGCGGAGATGAGGATGGAATGACCCCACTGGGCGAACGATGACCACTACCACTACCATCTGTGGATCTGTTCCGACAGATTTGTGCTTGTTCATAGGATCTTATTGGAAAATATTGAAACTCAGTATATAGGGCAATCTGCTTCACAAACTTCTGAACGCACACTGAGTGGGAAAAAAAAAACACGTTTCACGCACATCTGTGGATCGAGATAGCGCGACTCCATCATGATCTCTCTGATCTCCTGGGCGAAAGGCGACAATTTCGCTGGCGAAACATCCAAGGTTGGAATGGAAAAAACCGGTGGCCGGGTCAAGCTGTAGACCTGGACAGTTCATGGAGACCAAGATCCATGGGGTGTCGTGATCCCGCACAACTCTTGGTGTTCAGCAAACATGGACCACAGCCATCAAACTCGGTAAAAACATCTTCGAAGCCAAATAGAAAATCCCAGCGCCGAAGCAAATCATGAATTCCAACACACCCATGTTTGAGATGTTTTGGCCGCACTGTGTGAGATGAAATGGTCGCTTTCCCAGGTCCAAACCACTTGAAGCGACCGACTTGTCCGGGGGCTTGACGACCCCTCCAGCCGTCGGTTCCGGTCGTCGCCGGTTCGAGACGGAGGGAGGGAGTATGGCGATCGAAGCCCCACGGCTTCCACGCGGACGAAGACATGGGTTTCATAATATGGATGTCATTTAATGGTTTCATATAGTGGTTTGTTGGACAGAAAATCAGGTACCATGATGTACCATGTTCATCCATGAATGTGTGTCTCTTTTTCCGTCCATTTGCTTCACCCCTTTGTTTGTCGGAGTGTCGGCGAGAGTTACAACAGCGCAGCTCCAACAGCTGAAGGTTTCACAGTCAGAGAGATAATTTTTGGGGGATGTCCCATGGTATCCCATCACCAGTAACAGTGGATCATGATGGAGATAGCAGACCCAATTGTTGAAAAATATGGAGTTGGCAGACCCATTGTTGAAAAATAGGATTGATAAGACCTTTGAAATCGACTGTTAGAGGTTGACTGGGACAGACCACTAGAGATCCTATACTGATTTTGGACGTGGGAAACACCCCCTAGGAAGAGAAGCATCGTCTTCGTCCAAAGGAGTTGGAGCGTATCATCTCCGAGGAAGACGGAGCTATTTCTCCCAACAATCCACCAGGGCCGGCCCCTCAGGAGGTACCTCCTCTCAAACATCCCCCTATATATATATATATACCAGCACCCTCCAACAGGTCACCAATTGAAACCTGTTAGAGCCCAACAAACCTCCAAAGGAGACCTGTTGGAGGGTGCTGGTATATGTATATAATCCATAATGATCCACGAAATAGACCGTGGGAACATCGCAGAAAAGCAGTCGGATTCAATCCACCGTGACGTCGCACGGTGTCTCAGAATCCTTGAGGCGGAACATCCCCACTGGCAGGCTCGGACACGGGGACATGTTCGTCTTCGCCTTCAAGTCACCCAAGTCACTCAAAGTCCATCACTCGGAGCTTTACCCCCCCCCCAAAACCAGGGAGAACGGAGCAAGCCGCCAAAGAGCCCAGATGCCCGGGGCTCCGCCGGGTGTTCTGTTTCGACCCAGCGGCATCCACATCCGTCATACAGCGCATGGAATCCACATCTGGCAGCAGATCGGCGCTGCTGTGAAGCAGCATGAGCAAACCTGGGATCTGTTTGGAGATCTGTCTGGTGAACGGAAGAACTATCTGCTTTGATCAGCAGGTAGAAATCAGTTTCTGATAGTTTCAGTAGGTTTCAATGTTTCCAGCTTTCATCACTGTCATCAGCAGTCTTTTGTTTGGACAAAGGTCACTCTCTGTCTCCTTCGCTGTTTCTGTCCAAATTCCAGCCATGAAACCCAAGAAAGGCTGCCTGCAGGGATTTTTCCCTGTGAGAGGAAGGCATCAAAGCTCTCACTCATCAAATTGATTTAAACTTATTTAAGTTCAGGCCCCAAAATGAACTAAGGATCATTACTGTGCGTATTGTGTAGAGTCCTGTAGACTATGGATGTGATTTCACAAGATCTCCACCGTCTTCGAATCTCCAGCTCTTCAGTCTCTCGCTTCCAGTCCCACCCGAATCTACACGAACACCCCTGTTCCCACTGGCCTCCGCTTCTGATGCAAACCATGGAACTCCAAGAAAGACTAACCTCCATCTTGTTGAGCAAAAGCTTTTTATAAGTGGACCTACCCTCCCGCAAAACCACCAGATTGCTCCCCACAAAACCATCCCATGTCCCTGGTGCAGTCTCGTAATTTCCAAGAAGCAGTTGTTCATCTCATCCTGGAAATGATCCAGCGGCAAGTCATTGTCATCTTGCCCGAAGGGGTTTTCCAACTCCACGCCGATGAAGTTCAGGCAAGACATGCCTTGCTATCACGGTCCAGGGTTCGGTCCGACCCCCAAGCTGAGGCGTCATGTTCAGTCCATGAACAGATGGGGCAGCTCAATGCCTTTCCACAAAAAACATATCGGTTTCTGGCGGGCCCTGGCCCCACCATCGCACTCTCATGGGCTGGGCTGTGATGACCAGCTTCCCTTCACTGACCCCACACCGGTACCATTACGGTGGAACCCGTTCAAGAACATTAATGACATTTAATGACTAAGGGGGTTGCCAAGCTGGACTGGAGTGATGTCACATGGGACGCCTCTGAGAACGAGATGTTTTTTTGTGTCGGCCGTTGCTTCAGCTCTGGAGACATGTCGACTGGGTCGCTTCGAGGTGGAAGTTCTGTCGACCGGGTCCAGTCTCCAGACGGCCCTGAAGGCTTGGGGCGGAAGTACGGTCTCCTTCCAGTCGATCCATCGAATCCCATTTGCGTCACCCAAGCGTTGGGGCGGTCGTACCCCCACCCTTGAAAGATGGTTTAAATGGTTGACCTGGTGATGTAATGCAACATCGTCAAACAATGGCCGTTGGAATCCCACAAATATATTGTCATTTTGCTTTGAGTTAACTTTGTCAAACTCTAAGACTGAGACCCAAATAACATCTACTCCAGGAGTCACAAGACGGGGTGGTGTTTAGTCCCCAAGTGAGTGGATAATGGGCACCCCTAACCTCCATTAAGCACCCCTTTGTGACTGCTGGTACTTATAGTTATACTTCGTTTTTTCTCTCCAGGTGCTTTTTCCACGCACCCCATTTCGGATGTCTTCACCCGTCTGAAGACGGCCGATCTCTCTCGCCCAGGCGCCGAAAATGGGGATGAAGGAGAAAATCACACACCTCGGCCGCGGCCCGGACCGCCCGAACAGCGGCGGGGAGCGCTCCCGGGTCGATCCGCTTCAGCGGAGCAAGAGCTGCACACTGGTGAATGGATGGATATATGTATGTTGATTCCATGGTATTCTGAGTGACTTGTGTGGAGCTCCCATGATCTTCTTTCTATTCGGCTTCCTGTGACCGAAAAACTCTGATACTTCGCGTCTCGTAGTATGGAGTAGTTTCACCTCAAGATCCTCAACCTTTCAGTGCAACCATCTGCATGACAATTCAATCTCCTGACCTGTGAGTTTTGAGCTTCCATTCCCTAGCTCCACCGGTGGGCCAAACAGCATTGGATGGGAAGGCCCATCTAAACCGACGATATTTTATAGGTCACCACTCCAAAATCCTCTCAAAACCAAAATCCTCCGAAAACCCAACGAAAATGAACATGAACAGATTTGCAGACATGGTCAACCTATCAGGGGAAACGGAGCTCCAGGTACCATGACCACTGCCATTTCAGCACCTTTGGAATTCAAGCTTCACCTGTCTGGAAGTCCAACTACTCCACTACTATTCTGGATCTCCAGCCATAAAAATACGGAAGCTCCAGGCAATCCATCCAGAGAATCAGGTGACTTTCAATCCAAGTTCTTTGAGGGCTCCAAATAGGTGGCTCCAATAGGCATGTGTTGGAGAGTCGTTTAAGAAGGCCGACGCCTTCAACCCCGCGAGCCCGAGGCCGACCGAGGCCTTTGGCGAGGCCTGGCCAGGCCTCCGGTGGGTGCCTAGCCCAAGCGGCAAAGCCGGTTGTGTGAAGATCGAGGTCACCAAGATCGGCGTCAAGATCACGTTGACGAAGAGCCTCCGGCGACGACTCCGGACCCGGTGGGATCGAAGGTGAAGGTGGGGTCGTTCTGAAGGCCGTTCTGGAGGTGTTCCAGAATCGGAAGGCCGAGATCAACAAGTTCGGGTTTTCTGTGACCAAGATTCAAGTTTGATCTGGCTGTGTTGGGATTTTTGCCTTGGAATTAGGACTGTATAGGTATAGGTTGCACACTAGGTTTGCACCAAGAACACGGCTGACCCCCAAACCCCGCGGCTTCTGATGACTTTCAGTGCTTGTGTTTGGCCTGCTGCCCCCATCCTTTTTCAGTAGCAAGAACGCTACTGGTAGCAGGGGCATCGCTACTAGTAACAAGGGCATCGCTACTAGTAGCAAGAACGCTACTACTTAGTATAGATAGTCGTCTGGGCAGCACCAATGGGGTTGGGACCCTGGCTAATGGGGTGCCCAACCTCATCCTAGCCACCAAACCTTAGATAAAATCTAGGAACCCAACAAAGAGCTTGATTTGGTCCGTTTTAGCCAAACCCTAGATAATCCTAGATAAAATGCCCACTACCCCAACCTGAATTCATGACCTGTTTTCATGAACCAACGACATGAAAGCACGACATGCAAGCATGCTGAGTCTTGAAAGGCTGCGATAAAAAACAATGCTTCAACCGTACCCGGTGCTTTCCGCCGTCTCACCCGTCACCTCTGCCACCATCTGGGCAAAAGAAAAAACACCACGCGCAGACCCTCACCCCTAATGTTGAACTTAAATAACAAAACCCCATGTTGAGAGGTGCCGCCATTTTGGTTCCGGTTTTGGGTTCACATCCACACGACAAGGAGCAGTAAGGAGATGAGCTGCGCGAAGGGAAAGGGGAAGCGGGTGTCCGCCTAGGGCCGAAACAGCGGATCGGACCGAGCATCCAGGCGACGGACCATGGTCTGACCAGCACCTTCCAAGTCTGGTGGTTTTGGGACACCTCTTAACCTCTATACGAGGCCATTATAGGCTATTTATGGACACCTCTTGGTGTCGGTACTGGTATAGGTGATCCGAATGCGAAGGAACTTCCCTTTAAATCGTTCATCACTTCGGTGATGTTTTTTCGGGCCGGAAGGGCCAAAGGGCCTTTAGGGCCTTGTGTGCTCCAGATGATGTTGCTTCAGCTGCCCAAAACCTTTAAAAAAAACACCTAGACCTAGACACCGCGCGGTGAAGGCTGAGCCGTTTCGTCCTTGGCTGCCATGTTTTCCGGATTTGTCCTGGGATCTAAAGCGAAATCCTTCCAACGCCGGGTGACGATCTTCTTCGCGTTGAGCAGGTTCACGAAACCTTCGGAACCGACCATCGACACTTCGGTGGAAGCGCGTGCTTTCTGCTGTTCGGTCAGGGTCCCAGGCTTCGCCACGGGTGAAAGAGCAAAGTGACTCCCCTAAGGCGGCGGCTCCTGCGTCGTTTTGAAAGTCTGGTCCTAGACATGGGAGACCTCGGAGAGTCCTAAGAGACGCATATTTTGATCTCGGTCATCACATATTGGAGGAAACAATTTCTTTAGGCTTGGCTTGGCACTTACAGGACCCCACAAGTGCAGGGACAGGGTGAAGAATTGAGTAGCACCTCGCAGAAAGAGTAATTAGCCACAAAGTATCGTGACTCCTGACTTGTCTGGCCTAGGAAAAGAGACAACAAACCCAAACCCAGCCTTTCACCTCAAGAATCCATGAAAACTAGGCGCTCTCTGCGAATTCAAACATATGGATGAGTCTCTCCGCAGTTCTGTCAAATCGTCGTGGTTCCTTCAAAATTGAACCTTTTTTTTGATCCTTTTCGCAGATTCAAACTACACGCCAAACCACCTTTTCCCCACACCGAACCACCCACCCACCCTCCCCACGCGTTTACGGGCCGTTCGGTGGACCGCCGGGCCTCGCGAGAGGGTCTGGTAGACTCGGGAGATGATCGGTGCCGGGACGCGGATGATACCATCGTCCAGGCTTTGCCTCGGTTAACCGGTGAGACGCTGACCGGGACGTGGTTTGGTGATGGGTGTTTTCTTCGTGGTGTCGCGGATGAGAAAGAACAAATGATTGAAAAAAAGAAGAGCTCTTAGACGGCCCTTGATATATGTACTCAACTGCGCAATTACAGCAAGCCTTTGCGAGCTTATGTAGCTTTGAACTGATCCAGGAACCTTGGTAGAGTATAGTTTCACTTCACAGCTGCTCTCTTCACAGCTAAAGGCATTTCGAAATCAGCTGTGTCTTCATCGGTCAGATAAACTGGTGCGACCCAAGATACGTGATCAATGACTGGATCAGGTGGAGTAGCACTTCCTTGGCTGGCGTGAGTTATAGGAGTCGCATCATGTCACCTCCCTCCTAGTGGGCTGCCACCCATCAATACCAAGCGGACGGAGCGGACGTGGTGTTTGCTGAGTCTCCCAAATGGTTGGCAAGTTGGACACTGCTTGGAGTGAAAGGGACCAGCTGGGTTTCTTGTGGTTGATTTTGTCATGGAGGTTGTCTGCTTCAACTGAAAGCCACCAAAACCTTCAAGGTGGTTTGTAGCATCCCAAAACATTCACCACCCAGAGTTTAGAACACCACTCTGGCTGTTTCTAATCCTCCCACTCTGGCACGGTGACCACCATTTCGGCCAGCCATGCGCTTCGCTTTCGCTTTCGCCAGCCGAGGATCCACACGATTAAAACCATGCTCGCTGCAGGTTTGCAGGTGATGCAAGGTGCCATTGTCCAACCCCTGGGGGTCGATCGTCTCCTCGGTCGGAAGGTGACGACACAGACGCTCGACGTCTCGACGCGACGGTGACGGCCGTCGTCAGCTCGTCGCCGGGTCAGCGAAGGCTGGGGATGAATGGATCGTGTTGCATCGAAGTCCGACTGGTCATCTCCATGAACATGATGTACGTGTTACCGTCTTACTGTATGATTTCATATGATATCAACTCTTGAAACATTAAAAAAAAGAAAAAGGAATTGGTCCATGGATGAGGATGTTTCCAAACCCACCCCACCAAAGAGACTGCACCACCACGGACCTTGCTCATCACGAACTGCCACTGACGCGAAGCTCCGGTTCAGTGAACAAGCACGAGCCCAAGCGAGCCCAGGGCATGAACCAGCTCACCGCACGTCCGAGGGGCAACGGGGCAACAAGCAACACATGGTTACCACAAGGTGTTCAGGTGGATCGTGTCCTCACTCGGAAACCTCTATAGATGGTGTCCTTCTTTTTTTGGCTGAATCCACACGAATCCACACGATTCCCCTCGTTCACCTCCCATCCCACACCAAGCCGCGCAGTCGTCCGCGTCCTCGCCGCCAATCTCTTTGAGCGCCGTACCGTGGCACAAGCTCATTAGCCGCACGATCCTCACAACACCGTGGCGCGGTCAACGCGGTCAACGCGTGCGCACGCGGTCGCATGGGCCCGACGTGGTGGCGACGTGGAGCGGGAACCGGCGAGCTCGCGTGCCGAGAGTGGAGTTTTCTGGGGAATTGACCCAGGTATGGGAGCAAAAGACATTGCGACAGGACACCACTGGCTCCATCTCTTCCGCATCTGGAAACCCTGCCCCAGTCCCAGAAACAGAGCTGCTTCCTATATGTATAGAGGATCTCCGTCTTGCCATATTGGAACATGGAACAACCATGAATTTCTGGCTGTTTCTTTCTGGTCCAAAGGAATGTGAGAAATGGCATGAAATGGCCAAAGAAACAACAAGCCCCCCCAAAAGCTATGCTGAAAACTGCCCGAAAACTACCTACGTCTATCGAAAGGCACATCTTGTCAAGCTTGCGCGTGTTTCACCATCTGTTACACATATAGTGACTGTATAGTGATCTTCGTTTCGCTGAACTGCGCTCTCCGTCCCCAAAAGCTGGAGTCGTCACTCCGCCGTGCGGCGTATGACGAAAGGCCATGGTGTCCTTCTCCCGATCCTTGACGCCTGCGACCCCGCGTGGCCAACGAACCGCGCGGCCAACGACGCGGCCGGCGACGCACCAACAAACACGCGCGGACGCACCGCGGACGCACCGCGGACGCACCGCGGACGCACCGCGGGTGAGACGCGCGGAGATCCCTCTTGGAGTGGAGTTGGGTGGTGTGATGTGGCTCGTCCCATCCAGAGAGTGGATGTGACGAAGGGGCACCCCGAACTCTCTCCATGAAGCACCGCTTTGGAACTGCTGGATGGTAAGATTAAGTGTAATTTGGATCTTCCAAAGTCGCCGAATTTTGGTCAGACATCTTAATGACTTGACTATCAAAACCCCCATATACCCCCCGCCATCAGGCATCACGTCATGGGACCTTCGGCCGCAGTCGCAGTCGATGGACCCACGGGTTCGCGGAGGACCTGTGGCACACCCGGATGGATCTCATGAGTTCTCAGATCCGTTTCCTATGCACTTCAAGATCTTCAAGTGGCTTTTTGTCCTACAAAAAACGCAAGCCAGCTGTAGACTGGTGGTGGTGCCACTGCGACCTCAAGTATGAATCGGTGAAGTTCATGTCGCTTTATGCCCTCCTGTCCCCCCCCCCCATCCCCCCACTTCCCCGCCTGCGCGGGTGAAGGTCACGCAGCAACTCACGGAGTCAAACCACTCGCCACCTCGGGCTGAGCGAAGCTTCGCTCCACGAAGCCGAGGACCGAATCCCAGGACTCCGTTGTGGCCCAAACGAGGGGAACGAAGCGATGTCGTCGGGTTTTTAAGAACCGCCACAAGGGATGCCGGTCTGCGAGAGGAGTTGAGGAGTTTGGGGGATATACGGGGAGTTGAGAGAGAACATGGGATGAATTGCAGGATGAAGTGGTAGTTATGTATGTAGGCATCGTAATGTTCAACTAGTGTGTTTTTTGGGGAGGGTCCTCTTGTGCAAAAGGTGTGAACCCCTGCTCAGGAGTGAGTCGGGCATGTCTCACCTCGCCTGAGGTCGATAAGTTCACAACATCATGGCGACATCACATCATCCCAAGGTCCCGAGGTGCTTGGTTGGTGCAAAACCCCAACGAGAACTGACCCACAGACCCAGCTTCACTATGCTTCACTCATCCTACTAATTTGTCACTTTCCACTTTTGGAGGTCAACTCATCTCACTCGTCTCACTCATCTCCCTCTCCAAAGCCACAGCCTGTCAATCCAAGTGTCGCATCTGATGCAGCAAGCCCGTGCCCTCCCAGAAACGTGCCATAGCCCGATTGATTCGGAAGATCAGCAGACTGAAGAGCACCCCGGTGGCCGCTTGCCAAAGCCTCGTGAGGTTGAAGGACCCGACTGTCGACAATTTCCTATAGGTACCCCAGGTGAGGGGCCCTGTTTCAGGTCACTTGGAAGTGCCGCGTAGTTCTGCACAACCCGCAAAAACGAGCGCGGGATGTTTTCAGAAGGAACATTTTGAGAGCGCGTGGATTTCTGGGAGGATCGTTGGAGGCAGAGGCGACAGAAAATAAGACTGGAAAGATCTCCGAGGATCCCGCAAGAGCGGTGAGATCTGCTCCCAAACACTCTATAGGACCATATCGACCTACACTGGGGTGGCTGACCCGGAGTCGTAATAGTCCATTGTCCATACATGGAGTGCCTGGGAATTGGTTCGGGCGTGTTTGGCGTGTCCAGAGCCAGCTCCACTTTTCATCAGCAAAATGTGTCATCCTGCCATCGCCAGAAAGCTCTGCTGAAGCAAAAGTAAAGTTTTCTACTTCACTCATCTACAGCGGCTCAGCCCTTTTCAACCACATTCACTCGTGCCTCCCCAGTCTTAGCCAAGAATGTCCTGAACAACTCCAAGGGGCTGACTCTGCTGAGCTTCCAAAATCCCTGAGGACTGACGGAACTCGGGTCCGACCCATTGATCAGCATAAGCCAAGAACAGCGCCTCAGGCAGCGTAAGTCTGTTGGAGCCCGCCAGGACCTCTATGATATCAACCAGCTAACAATATGGCCTTTTCCTCCCAATCCAGGGGTCATGTTTCGGCTCTTGCTGAGGCAAGTTCAGATCATGAAGTCCCAACTTGGCAACAAAAACAGATCTGCTTTAAAAGATGTTTGAGGGCTTTGTTCCGAACAGTCCCAACTGTAAGCCTTTCGCGTGAAACACGTCCGACCATGGTTGAGGCATGTGTGTCTCGGCTGTGCTCCACGTGCTGAGGGACTTGCCACGCCCAGCCTCACTGGCCAAACAAGGAGTGGCTCTTAGACCCCAAGCGCTGAGTTTCAGCGTGACACGAACGAACTGACCGTCCCAAACAACCTGGACGAACGTCGTTTTAGGGGAGGATCCCACCTTCGGAAGCTTGCGCGAAGAAACGGGGATCAAGGTGAACACGCTTTAGCGAAACGGCGTGGGGAACGACCGCACCCTCTCGTGTCCAAACCGCGCCCCGACCCGTTGAACGAACGAAAAAACCCGACCATATAGGAGTGACGGATCCCCTTCGACCCAAGCCCATTTCTGCAAGAAACGAGGTGTGGCTGACCCAAACCGATTTGGTCCAATCCTCAATAAGATCTTTAAATTCCATCATATCGTAATATATCGTATCATACCTTGAAGCGAAAGCCCACCCAGGCAGCCAAAGCACTACCAGTGCGGTGGGCACCGCAAAGAAACAGGCGCGTGGGGCCACCGAGCCTCGCCGTTGGACGGCCCAGCCGTTGGGTTCTTCGCTCTCCCGTGCCCCTTCCGGAAGATCAATCTCGCAGCCCTGCCTACTCTTGTTACTATACCCTGGGAGTCAAAGACTAAAAGAATGGTCTTTAGGGGACCTGAAGGCCTTTACTTCAGCCGGTCAAATCATAGTCTTTGGACTTCTAGGGTATAGTAGTCTAGTCAGAATACTCCGGACTCGTAGCGAGGCCAGGAGCCCCATTTCGTAGCGTCCGATCGCTCCGTTCGTAGTAAGGCCAGGAGCCCCGTTCGTAGCTTCTTGCTCTTAGTAGCGATGCCCTTTGTACTGATGCACAAGTGAAACACTTTGGGATTTGAACGGAGTCTATTTGTCGGGTGCAAATAGCTGTACAGATGAGAAAGTGCCAAAGTTTGGAATTCCTGCCATATGTTAAACATACTCGTTCTGGGCGCATCGGGAACATGGTGGAATCTTGAAATGGCCATCTGGTGGTTGGACAAATCCTGCAATGGCTTGTGCTGCTTGGGCACTTGCAATGTAGATGATCCGTACATTCATCCGACCGCGATCGCAGAACCCAGGAACCAGCTGAAAAAAAAACATCGAGAGCACAACTGGGAAAAGCCTTGGGCACTCTATATAGATGTTAACGTTTATTGGGCACAAGATGACAGTACCAGGACCTTCCAATTCAACCGGTGCTTTTGGAGACCCGACCACAGGTGGTGAACCTGGGCACCGGACTCACCGGGACGTCCGATTGGCCGAGCGCTCCCGCTCCGTGTCCTCGATCTGGACGGAAAACGAAACGTGGGAAACAAAGACCTACGTAAGACCTTGCAAGACCTAAAAACCGATCACCCAAATAACCCAAATATATAATCCCAAATAGATCGATCCGGAAAAAGAATTAACATCCACCCAAACCGGCCCAAACCCCTGAAACATTCACCAAGTGGTGAAACCGCTGCGTGAATGAATGTCTTCACAGTCCATCCGCTGTTCTGACTTGACTCCGCCTTGAAGCCTGAAGAGGGTGGAGATCAACCAATCCTCGCTGTAGTCAATCATGTCGCTTCAGGGCTCCACTCAGAGACATGCCCCAATCGCGGCCCTTCGCCGCACCCCGCGCGGGAACGAAGCGCGGCGGGAAAGCGGAGCCGCGCCGAAGCACGGCTGCTTTTTTGATGGTCTTCGTGCGATGTTGTGGGTCGATGGGCGAAGACATGTGTTCGTCCTGGTGCTTGCGGCTAGCTAGATTGCTTTGCTTGGACTTGTAGGTTGAGCGACCTCCCAGACTCTCAAGCTGGTGACTACAAGGGGGCTATGAAGTGCGAAAGAGTATCTGTTTGCTAGCTTTGTTCGACCTAAAGTAGAGACAATGTCGTTGATCCTGATTGTGCGAGTACTGCACATCTTCGAAAAGAACAGATCCATTTCCTGAATTCAGACTCAGTCTTCAATCAGAAAACTTGCCTCCCCCAACAATACACCTCTTGAGCACGAAACAGGGTGATCCGCGGCGTGGTGTCTTCATCTTTTCAGTTCTCTGGTGGGCTTAGCAACTCACTAGAGGTTTAATCAGTTTAATCATATTCATGTTGGTTTGCTAAACTTCATCATCATGTTAAAGTGGAAATGCCGGATGTTGTCAAGTATCCCTGTCTGTCCAAAAGGTCCAATGATGTCTGATGATTAGTCTATTCCCTACATGGCTTCGACTCGTATCCAGACATGCCAAAACAGACCGTTTGAGCTGGCCAGTTCTCCCTGCCAAGTGAGTGTCCATCATGACTTGGGAACACACAATATGATGTCATTGAGGGGAGCCGGTCACCCACACGCTTTTTTTCGTCACGAAACTCAAAACGATTCTAGTGAGGTATAATTGAGACAAACTCATGCGTTAACTTCCAACCAATCACGTCCCTAAAGATTCTCGAAGCACACGCCTGCCAGTCGGCAGGCTAAGGCTAAGACCAGGCCAGTTCACGGCCCGTGAATCTCTGAACCGGCGAGGCTTGCATGGTAATCAACATAACCAGCCAATCAACCGGCTGTATGTTGATCCCACCCACAGTTGATCCCGGGTATACTTTACTTGCTTGGGGCTGGTTGGCGAAAACTGGATCATGATAAAAACATACAAAAACCATCCTACCCGTGACGTGGATGTGTTTGTCATGGTCACCCTCTTCCAGGTCGGGTGGTTGGTCTACACCGGAAAAGAAACGCCGAGTTTCTCTCCAAGCAATAGACCGCCCAGAAAGCAGCCGGAAAAAAACATGAAAAAACACATGGTCGGGAGCATCATGTGAGGCAAACCCACATCTTGATGAACTTGAGAAAAAAAAGACATGAGTGATGTGCCATCACCAAACGAAACATGTTGAGTCGTGTTGAGGTTGTGTTTTAGACCCGGCTGCCATTCCAACCAGGTCCTTCTCTTCAAGAAATTGTGATCAAAGCAGTGACTACCTGCAGCTCGATATGATATTGCTTGTGGATACCAATCAAACACTCTCAAACGTCACTAAATGGAGATGGAGAAAGGAAACCCTTCGGTCTGTAAGGCGGAATTCTCGCTTTTTCGGCGACTGCATTCCTCATGTTCACCTCTTGGGAAGCACCTCAAGCAAACCACGAACGGAGAAGCGCTGGAAGCGACCCCTCCGGATGTCCAGGACGACCGACGACCGAGAGATTCCGCACGGCCGCGACTCCGCGTCGTTCCGCTGCGTTCCCCGGACATATCGGTGCGCGCCACTTCCCGTCGACGGCAGCCCTTGCGCAGGCGGCGTTACGTGGCGCGCGGCGTGGCCGAAGCGACGGAGGCGACGGGAAGGCGAAAGCGCCGACGGAAGCTGAAGCAGCCTTCAGCAGCTTCGAAACGCCGCGGTGCGGATCGAGAAACAGGTCCGAAACTCCAAGCTCATGAGCTTTCGAGTGGTGTTTCTTCTCGAGACTTGCATCACATGATTCTTTTTGTGGAGGTCGCCCCCTGTTTGAAGAGGAAAAGAGTTGTTCCTTTTAAGGATCATATTCCACGTCTATGGAACGTGAGTCAGAGTGTGTCTCAAAAGTGGTGCAACAACTCGACGGTCACCGGCCCTTCAGTCGAAGAGTTTCACACACGCCGAAACTCTTCAGAAGCTAAAGCGATCGGCTTCCGAAGCGATCGGAAGTGTGAAAGTACTAGTGAAAGTCTATCCGACATACTGTGACATACTGAAGAATTTGGATCTTGCAAGATCTCCAGTCAAAGTCGATCAATAAAAATACGTCTTCCCCAAGATGTGGTCGGTCCCAGAAGGGGGGGGCAATGAACCTCTGGACAGATGCTGATTCTGCGACAAACAAATGAACCTGCTGACATGATCCATGGAATAGAAGAATTGGATTCAAACGCTGGCTTGCTAAGAAGGCTTTGTGTTCTTTTGTCACGGGCGATCAGAGTTTGGAATAAAAAAGGTCTCTTGTTTGATTAAACAGGTTTAAGTTTAAACGATGTTAAAAACTCGAAAATGGTCAATTGGCGTGACCCGTTTGCAGAGAGCATGCACAACGAAACCCGTTTGAAGCTCAAGTTCGGCTCAATGCTACGCAGCGCATGATCTCCGCAGCTTCGTGACAGGAAACACCTGTGAAGGGGGGACGCCAGGTACACCAGCTACCTGGATAGCAACATGTGTGACCTTTTGGCCTTGGTTGGCAACTCCGAACACCCCTCAATGTCGACAACCCCCTCGCAAAAACCACCCCTGAACCCCTGAACCGCCTGAACCGCCGAGAATTCACCGCCCCTGAAGCTCCATCCGAAGCTGCCAACTCCCGTTTTCCGCGCGCGCCACGCGGTGGCCGGTGCCTCTGTGAGAGCAGCGAGGGCTTCTTCTGGCGTTCGAGCCTGGGAGCGGCGGGTGAGATGAATCGAAACGGAATTCGGAATGGACATTGGGGGGTGCAGAATTGGAGGGTATAGAAGGGTATTGGATTTTTGTGGAATCAATGGGAGAACATGGGAGAACATGGGAGAACTGCTTTGAACCGCAGAAATCTGAAGTTCCCTTGAATTGGCAAAGCTCTGAAAAAGAATACAACAAAGGTCGCGAAACCTGATGAACCGGATAATGAAATGGAAATCTTGGTAGGTATCTATGTAGTCATTCGGCTCCATTTTGGAACCAATTTGACTGTATAGTTAATGGTTCAGCAAACCATCAGCCACATCATCACCACCTTCGGCAGCATGGTAACAAAATGAAAAAGAGAAGTCGAAGAAATGATCTTCCGCCTCCGATGATCCTCCTCTCATACGTGCTGTTACACGTGTCTCCGTTTTCCGCATGCAGCGTCGCGACGACGCGTGCCTAGGCGACGACGCGCCGTGGTGACGCTCCCAAAGGCTTCGTCCCACTTCAGGTCCGGTCGTTCGGTGAGAGCTTGCGTGCGCATGGCGGGCAGCCAGGTGCAAGCAGACCCTCGGAACTGTACAAAGCTTGGTCTTTGGGGTCACAGTTCGATGAAAAAAACTTTAAAAAAAAAAACAAAGCAAAAGTCCTGAAGTCCTGAGTCCTCTTCTCTCCGTTGGTGTCTGGGCCACCACACCAGCCAGGTGATGGCATCAGGGCAGCGGAAGCTCAGCAGTCCTTGAACCCAGAACGGCTCGGGTGCTACTCGGCGGGCTTTGCCTCCAAATGCCACCCCCTTGCCCTTCTGGGTCTTTAATTGATCTAGGGGCGATGACAGTGATGCTAAAATCAGTCACCCTATGCCCTAGCAAAACACTGCCGTTCGGTGCAGGAATGTGATCACCCAAATGGATCTCTACCTGCTTCCAAGGGGTCACCAAGGGGGCATCCCCCAGCCCACTACTTAAATGATCTCTACCTGTCATCGTCACTCTGGGGCACTCCCACAAAAGCACATTATGACGATGAAAAAAAGAAGGGCCCCTGACCCGGCCTCTAGTGCAACTGCAGAACGTTTCTGAAACCAGGAAGCCTTCTTTCTGAAACCATGATGAGTGAATGGTCAGTTCACGCCCTACTCCACTCGGCGGTCGAAATGCAGGCCACACGGCCACACGCCCTACTCGCCTCGAATCCTGGAATATTGGCCCCCTTGGCGCTTGGCTTTGGTGATTAAGCAAAACTTGATACGGAGACTGAGCTCCGTATCAGCCCTTGCTGGGTCGACTCGCCCGCGACCCAAGCCGCCCGCCACGAACACCCTCGGCTCGGCTCCTCCGGAGACCTCACGCACCTCATGGACCTCCACCTGGAGGGCGCCGCTCCGGGACGAAGGCGTTCGGCGATGACACGGAGAATCCAGAAGCCGATCGGGGTCCAACACGGAGGAGGTGCGTGCGCGATCGAGCGAAGAGAGCAGCTTCCTACTTTGTGGGAAGTCTATGGTTTTTCTGCATAAGTAGCAAGGCAGAAAGGCTCTCTGTTGAATGGGTCTCTGTGTTTTCATGTTGTCTCTGGTTTTGAGGTTTCATATCCTGCTGACCTGGTAACCTCTTCAGTGTCCACAAAGGGGGAAAAAGGGTCGTGGTGGAACTTGTGCAGCTTGGGTGGCCACTTCCCAAAGTGGCCATACTTGATAATTTTTAATGTTATTAGGCTGGAGGCCATTGCTAGTAGGCTGGAGGCCATTGCTAGTAGGTTGGAGGCCATCGCCAGTAGGTTGGAGGCCATTGCTAGTAGGTTGGAGGCCATCACCAGTAGGTTGGAGGCCATTGCTAGTAGGTTGGAGGCCATCGCTCTTAGGTAGGTAGGGCCTTGAAATGCAGAGGATCTCGACATCAGCAGCTATTTTAATGTTTCGGTGATCGGTCTCACATCACCCATATTCGGTGATCGCTTGCGCTTCATCGATCGCTTGCGCAAGATCGACATATCTGGTTTGGCCCGCACCCAGCGTTGGAAGAAGACTTCGGTTGTACGTGCTTTCTGCGATAAAGTAATTTACAAAAGATCTAATATGACCAGAACCTTCCTTACGAGGCCAGCTGACTGTTGCCGCCCCAGCCCATTACTTCCGGATCTGCCAGGACATCCTGTTTCGGGAAGGTCCTGGTACAGCAACTTCTGAAGTCACTTCCTGGAAAAAAAGGTCAAGACCTCTTCCCATCGCTCACCATCTGAGTGCCCCCGGCCGTGGTCACGGTGCTTCCAG